TATAAGGTTATGAACATCAGTCTGCTCCAATTTACAGGCACCCACCACTGGGTTTCAGAGGCAAGAAGTCTTTACAGGATGGATACTGCCCGTTTTCCTTCCATGGATGGGGCTGTGTATTCTAATCACTGATCCTAGCGGTTCACTAATTACATTGAAGGTTCTTTGTATGTGCACATGAAGTGGTCACATGGTCCAAGAAAAGAGGGAAAGGCCCTGTTGCAAATCAGCTTCTTGATTATTTTTATAAATGCCATTTTTCATGAACCACAAGTGGAGGATAGGTTCTCTGCTCAGCTCACAGCTCCTTCCAGTTGCCAGACTTGTGCAGTAGTTTGTCTACATCCAAGGAACACGCAAAGCACACAACCTCCCCCCCCCAAAAAAAACCCAAAGACAAGGAAGGATGGCCAGTCTATGCTTTCCCTTCCCACTCCCTGCATCCCAAGGAGCAGTTCAGTGAGGTTCTGGGATGGGGTCAAGCATTGTTTCATCTCCTCAGCTGCAGGCTTAAGGAACACTAACCACTTATTGATAGGAAACTTGGTGGCTCCCTCTCCACCCACCATCCCGAGTTATCACTGACTCCAAGTGAGACAAGTACACAGCAAACATGTGGTCAAGAATTAAAGGACAGAAGGTGATACAACCTCAGTCTGAGCCCTCGTCTCCACAGATTTCTTGGCTTGTTCCACTGTCCAATAATTTCAATTTGGAACATGCTTCTGAAAACTTTTAAAAACAGCCCTGAGACCACCAACAACGTAACTGTTAACTATAGCTTTAGAAGGGCTCTTCAAAGAGAAAGAGGTGTCTTTAGCAGCTCTACATCCTTGTCCTCCCTCAGCTTATGTCATTAAAACACAGCAACCCATGAACAAGGGATCTGAACCCTGCCCAGTCCTGTGCCATCTGCATCAACACACTTTAGCGCTGTATTCTGTGTTGACCCATCTTCTTGAGGGCCTTCCTCTTTCATGTTGACGCTCCACCCTTCCAAGCATGATGCCCTTCTCCAAGTACTGGTTCCTCCTAACATGCCCAAAAGATGTGAGATAATTTCATCATCCTTGTCTCCAAGGAGCACCCTGGTTACACTTTCTCCAAAGCAGATGTTTGTTCTGGTAGTCCACAGGATTTTCAGTAATCTTCTCCAACATCCTAACTCAAAAGGCATTGATTGAACTGATTGCAATGCTCTTTCTTTAGTGCTCTAGAGAGGTCCTTGACAGCCGATTTTCCCAATGTAGGAGGATCCTTGGAGGCAAGGATTCTGAGGCTTCATCTGACATACTCTGGGCATGCTGCAAGGAGGGACCAGTCCTTGGAGAAGGACATCAAGCTTGGGAGGGTGAAGAGACACCACAAGAGAGGAAAGACCCTGGATGAGAAGGACTGATACAGTGACTGGGGTAAGGAGGGTAGGTATGTCTGACAGTAAGGTTGGCACAGGATAGAGGTTTCAGAGCAACTTGACACGACATAACAAGTAGGAACTACGTATAGTCAAATCACTCTATATCGCCTATTGGCCAAGTGGTGAGGATTATTTGTTTTCTCATGTTGTGATATAATCCGTATTGAAGACTTCCTTGCTCTGTTCAGACAACAGCCTCTTGGTCTAGGTCTCACATGAACACAATTAAGAGTCCTGGGATTCCCATTCTCAATGTTAGTCATAATTTGTTGGGATCCACACAAATGCCGTTGCATAGTCAATAAATTAAGGTAGACATCCTAGTATTGTCTCTGCCAAGATGTCACTTCAGCAATGATATCCCTGGCCTCACAGTGTCTTCTCGATCTAGCTTCCATTGACAGTTCAACACAGGACAACTCTCCAAGTAGCTCGGAGCTCCTGTCTTCCCTTGTAAATTCCAAAGGCGTGGGCAATTATAAAAAGCCACTGCCATACATAAACAACCTAAAGTTTGCTTCTGCACTGGATTTCAAAGATACTAAAATCTTTAACTGGGAGCAAACTAAAGCACAAAGTGAATTTTAAGAGAATGTATGATCAAATAGTGGAAGCCTACTAAGATCACATTAAAGTCTAATACAGTGGGGTGGAAAGAACCTCAATCACATCTCCTGACTTTACCCGGCCAAACTTAAAGGCAGGTAATGATTTTCATACAGTTAATTAAGTTGTAACTTAGGTCAAATAACCAATTTCTGTGTGGTTTGACTTTAGGTCACAAGTTCTGAGACCTCTTTTCCCTGCTGAATTTCTCCAGGCTCTCCTGGCACACTGAACCATGCAGAATTGCTCTGTTCCATTGGATCAGGGATCTGGGTTTGCTGGGCCTGGTCTTCTGCATAAAACACTCCCCTTCCTAGGCTTGGAAGCAAGGATCCCTTCAATACCTAGCTTAAATATTCCTTCCATTCTGAAATCTTTTGTCCATTCAGCAGCTGCTTCTTAGGTTCCTCAGGTTCACAGTTGGAGCACACACACATGGGCTCTGATTGTTGAGCTAAAAACCTTTAAGAAGGATCTGAAAACTGTGGCCCCAGGACTAATGCCAGGTTCCTGAACAGAAAACAATGGTTTTGACTATTAAGTGCTTCACTCACTCACCACTCTCTCTCTCTCTCTCTCACACACACACACACACACACACACACACACACACAAGGCAGTAATTCAAATGTGCTTAAGTTTTCTAGGAATACAAGCCACACACATTTACATTTTGATGGTAGCTTTCATGCTAATAGCTAAGCCTAGTGGCTGAAGAGACCACCTGAGCAAAGCCTTTATTTACTATCTGACCCTTTACTGAAAGTTTAATAACCCTTGACCTAAGAGATTTTAAAAACTGCCTTTTGTTTTCATATGGAAACCAGAATCATAGGGAAATCAGAAATGTGTTAATTATTACCATATGGTTAATAGTTCATCCAAGTAAGAATCTTTGTAAACAACTAACTAGTAGTTTCCTTTTTTGGTCACCGATCACCCAAGACTCCTTGATACTGGTTCTTGTATAGTTTATTGCAACTTAAAAGTCAATTATCAGCACTGACTCCTCATGGCACTGTTAATTAAGATCAGTGTCAAAATCTGCTGCCGGGAATCGTGTCCCTTCCCTTCTCCCTGGGTTGGTGTCACTTCATGGGGTGGACAGACAGCACAGGTGCCAGCGGTACAGCTAGAAAAGATATTGTAATACTGTGCTTAATGCTGATCCCAGAATGCAAAGACTATGAATTTTGTTTTCATAAATAAGGCTAAACAAGGCAAGATTTTCAAGTAAATGGAAGGTCATCACAGCTCAGTGCTTTTAAGAAATACTTGAGTTCCTTGCTCACATTGAGGGCTTACGGTTTTTCTTTTAACCTGTTAGCAACTCTTCTCCAGCTTTTACTTTCTTCACTGCATGGAGTGCAGGCCACCTTTCCCAGTCCCAGTTCCCTGGCCTCACCAGCCAGATTCCCAGGGGTCTGTAACACCACACGTGAGTGCTTCAGAGGAGAAGTTCTCAAACTTGCAAGGTTATGGAGGGTCAGGCAGACATGGAGGGCATCTTAGACCTTGAAGCAATGTTTTTTCTTTGCTCCAGCAGCAAGCTACTCCTTTAGACCTCCACGTAATGGTTTTTCTTTGCTCTAGCTGGAAACTTAAGATCTCCCTTCCACTATCTAGTATCTCTACAATACTCAGAAGTCAAGAGCTTCACCTTTTGCTGCAGCAGGGCCCTCATATTAGAAATTCAATTTGCAACTCTGTCATTAACCACTCTTCAGAGCAGGAAGGGTAGGTAGGGGGCAGGTCCAAAAGGACTGGCAGGCATTTGAAGGAGGCCCTTCCGTTTGACAATGGTTGCCAAAGGGAACCATGGAGGTAATGGCTCTCAAAGGGAGAAGAGGTGCGCTTAGACTTAGACACAAGTTCAAGGGGAGCACAATGTAGTCCGTGCAAACGGTCAGCACACACTTGGAGGCACTCAGAGGTCTGAGGGAGGACAGAGACACTTGGCACAGAAAGAATCGGCAACAATCTTTTATTTCCAAACTTGCACAGGGTTAACGCAAGCAGCATCTTGCAAGCTTGTCAGTGATTTGCAGGCCTAATAAATTCTCTTAATCAAAGGTTTCTCTCACTCACTCACACTTGCTTACGTAGATATATATATATGTAAAAAAAAGTTTTCAGGTTCTAGAACATCCCAAATTTTCTAGTCCATACAAAAACAGTATTTAACAGTCTATGCTAGCTTTAAAAAAATTTAAAAAAAAACAAAACAAAAAACCCCCACAAACCCAAAACACCCAACTCTTAAAAAAGAACCTCCAAAACTCCAACTCAGAAATGTTTCTCCCATAAAGAAAATCCCTCCTCTTCCTTGTTCAACTGCCACAGAAACATGTAATCAGACTCCAGCTCCCTTCTCAGTCTGTGGCCATCTATGAAAGCCCATCCCAACAATCATTCCCGTAGGACTTCTCAGGAAATCTATCTCTAATTACTGGATCAGCCAAGGATCAGATTTGGCTATAAACTTGCCCCCCCCTTGTATCTCCTGCAAGATCAACTGGATCAATGTGTCTGGGTGAGACTGGAACGCTGGGTTGCACACACAGGGGGCCTTCCTATATAGAAGTGAACACTGACCTCAGTCTAACCTACCAGGTAAAAGTAGCAGCAGGCAACAAACCATTAACTCTAGTTAAAAGGTGCTCGTCTCCTCCCTTAAACCATGAAGGAAGGGACATGGAGTCCGCAAAAAAAGGACTGGCAGCATTCCCTCCCCCTCCCCCTAAAAAACTGTACTTGTTCTTTGGTCCACAAGAACAGTGTGCTCGGTTTCTGGCTGGGGAAAAACAACTGTTCATAGGAAGCCTGGCTCACTGCTGCCTTGTGGAGGCAGGTCTCTGAATGCAGGGTACTTGGGAATTGGTAGAGAAATTATTTCTATCAACGGAACTTCACAACTAGCTAACTCGTCAACAGCAACTTCTCTTGAGGCCACCAGCGGAGCCCCTCACGGCTCAGCTCACAGCTCCTTCCAGTTGATGGGCTTCTTGCCAGACTTCTGCAGCAGCTCATTGGTTTTAGAGAAATGCCTGCATCCAAAGAACCCACGATACACCGACAAAGGGGAAGGGTGTGCAGTCTGTAACACGTGGTGCCGCTTCTGAAAGAGATCCGGGCAAACAAGGAAATGAGATGGAGCAAGGTTCTGGGGAAGAAAGAAGGCTCCAGCTGCTGTGCTTCCCAAGACCACTGTGCAATCAATTTCTTTGCTCTCTAAATTCACCCCACTTCTAAAGGTTATGTCCCATCAGCAGATAAGACTGGAACATAAACTCACTTACGTATGTATTCACCGTTAACTACCTTTGCTTGACTTCAAGCATAGAAAGTTGGTAAGCCTACTGCTTATTCAGCAAGACCTGTCTATTTAAGCACCTCTACCTCACAGTCCACATCCACCAGCTGCTCTACGGGAGAAAAATGGGCAATCTCCTCACATGTGATTTACAGCCTCTGAGAACCTACTTTAGGGCCAGCTACAAGTCGCTCCCAACTTGATGGTACACAGCCACGACTTCACAGGCCAGCAATTCCAGAGTTCAGAAAACATGTATGAACAAAAAGCCAGCCACATGCAACATTCTGCTTGTATTAGCTAAACTCTACCTAGCCATCACTATATAACTTCCTTAGAATATTTTTCTGAAGCTCTCAGAGTACATGAGCAGACAGGGAAGACTTCTGAAGCAGGGAGCCCTGTGTCATGGTGTGCAACACGCTGACCTGCCAAATGCAAGCTCAGCAGGCTTGTACCCACCAGGTGCTCTGCAGCAAAGATGGGGAGGCTCCGCTCTTAAAGCGTGCTGTACGTCAGACTTGACAGCTATTCCTAGGAAGCCAGGTTCAGTGCCGACGGCCTGGATTCTATAGTAGGGGCCCTGGTAGCAGAGTGGTTAAAACGCTCATCTGGTAACCAAAACCTCAGTGGTTTCAATCCATGAGCCTAGTCCATGAAAGGCATGGCTTTCCACCTTTGGTTTTACTGGCCCTATAGGGTCACACTTAGACAACACAGTAGCAATGGGCTCCCTACTGTTTGAGGGACACTGGTGGATCCTTTGATAGGATGCTTGCCTTTCACAGAGGATGCCTGGGCTCAAAGTGAGCTCATCACCCATGGACCTCCCATACACCCATCCACTTTAAGGGGAGGCTGACACTTTGCTTTGATACTGGGCAGGCTTTGGTGAAGCTTCCAGACTGTATGATAAGGAAAGGCCTGGTTATCTACTTAAGAAATTTCAACAATGCAAACCACATGGAACTCAACATCCAGCCCTGCAACCTCCTGAAATATTGAGGGCTGCTCCACCGTGCACCACCCGAGCTGGCACCAGAGTGCAGGGCCGCTAATAACAACATGCTGTGTAAATGATCTCACCATAAAAATGGACTTTGATTTAAATGTCAACTGCAGTTGTCTGAGCAAGATGGTAACAGGCCAATCCGCATTTGTCTTTTTTTCTTTTCAGCATTTAAAATAAACATCTAAGATTATTTCAAAAAGGCCTGTGTTAGGACATCTTCTTGAATACTCTTCTGTGTGATACCGTATTGGAGGACCCATGACACTAAGCATTTGTAAAAGGCAAAGCAGAGTGCCAACAGTGAACCTTTATGTAAAGGATTTTGGTTAATAAATTAACACCTACAAAAGCTTGAACTTGTGTATGGTGGTAATCTGCCAGAGATGGAAAATGCAAAAAAAAAAAGTGGTGGTTAAGAGTGCACTGTCAAGAGTGCTTGCTTTGGCAGCACATATACTAAAAATTGGAATGATACAGAGATTAGCATGGCCTCTGTGAGAGGATGACACGCAAATTCATGAAGCGGTTCATTATTTTTTGCTTGATGTAATAGTACAATTGTAATATCAATCTTTAGTTCTTCTAGTCAAGGTATTAAATTTTTAAAAATTAAAAAAAAAATATGGTGAATTGTTAAATCTTCACCAGCAAAAATATCTCACTAAATTAGAATTCATTCTCACGTCTCTCTCTACTAGAGTATTTCTATTCATAGTAAAACTACATTAAAAAAATTGCACTGTCAGGGGGAGACGGTTTCAAGTTTCAGTGTGCTAATGCAGGACTGAAGAGCTAGCAAATGGGACATGATAAGGTGCAGGGGAAGGGACCCTGCAGGACTGAGCAGAATCACCCATGGGTTTTCCTAGGCTGTGATATTTATTACAGAAACAGGCAGGTGAGGTGTGGTTGGTGGGTCAGAATCAAAAGCTTTTGGTTATTAGCACACTAACCACTATACCACCATGTTAAAGTAAGAAGTCTGTGTACTTCCTGCCAAGTTTACTGTCTCCCTAAAATTAAAGTCTATTTACAAAACAACTCAAACTCTGCCTTGTAAGAGCTGGGTCCAGGAGGGGAGATAATTACTTAAAGTAAGGAGGTAGGGTTAGGTTAAGAACACAAAGCCTTGACCCAGGCTCCCTAAGTTCAAGTTCCAGCTGTCCTCTGTGTAGTTGTGTAACCATGGCACAGTGAACTTACATTACACTGCTTTTCACTTGTGAAACAGGAACAAAAGAATCTAGCCTTTAAAATATTGTGAAAGATCAAATAATGTACAGAGTATACAAAGTAATATCCATCCACGTCTGGCAAGCAATAGTAACTCCTAAAATGCAGGCCGGGCAAGTTTACAAGGCTGAGTTAGCCTCCGGGGATTGCAAAGCCCTCACATCTCACATCTGGGAAGAACCCAGATACGCAAAGTAGCAAACAGCCAGGGACGTTCTGAAACTGCAGTGGGGGACAGGCACCAGCCTGGGAGCTGCGGCCCATGACCTAGTGCTGTCAGGTGCTGCTCAACTGAATGTCAAAGCATGGTGATCCCACATGGCAGTGGAGAACTAAACAAAGAATCCTGCCAGGTCTTTTTTCTGATGAACCACTGCGGTCACTCGGAAGCATCCACCTTTAAACTAAATAAAACAGATCCCAAACTTCCCTAAAGACAGAATAGAAAGGATTCTCATGGACTTCTAACTTACCTGGACTATCAGATTTTAGCAGCTTGTCCATTCATGCTAAGATTGCACTTCTATTAAAGTTTAGGAAAAGTCAAAGAAGTTCGCTCACACCTGTTCCAAGACTGCAGTGACACAGTCCCACAGGCCCACCCAGGTACACAAAGAGCCTGATGCTCAGCGCGGAGCTCAGCAATGGAACCACAATAGAACATGGATCCTCCCTTGTGGCCAACTTTCGGCTCCTGACTATCTCTCTGGGCCACGAGATAGCCGCCTTCAGAGAAACGAAGTCATTGACTTTATGACATGGATTTTCCAGAACTGTTTTGCAACTATGCCTGAAATTTCTAAACCAGCCTGTGACTGAAAAATAAACCATCAACCGTACCCTGTCAATGGCGCTGCCTTTCTTCTGAGCATACGAGCCCCAGAGCAAGAAGACGAGGCCAGACAAGTTCTGATTGAGCCAGGACACAACCACATCAGTAAACTGCTCCCAGCCTCTTTCCTTGTGAGAATTGGCTTGATGTGCTCGGACGGTGAGGACAGCATTGAGGAGGAGAACACCTTTGCACATACAATAACAATAGTTTGCAATTAGGGAATGAGGAAAGTATCACAATGTCAACAGTAATCTCTGGGCATTTATTTTTGTCATTGCCTTTTCAACATCTTCCAAGTGAGCATTCATTACTGTGCCCATCAGGAAAACTTGCTTTGGAAAATATCCCAAAGCCCAAAAATTAACCAACTTGTGTCTCCCGCCCCCCCCAAGCCCCCCACCCTGCTTTTTCCACCTTTGACAGGTTACTGACTTTCACAGCTCTTACTATAAACCAAAAAAATGCAAAGAGATGAAAATTAAATAGCCAGAAACCACCAAGACACAAGTGACAGAGACTGGTGGTATCGCAGAGTATATGGCCTCCTTAAATAATTAAGACAAGCAACCCTTGAGTACTGCTGTGCTCTTAAAAAAATTATCTACATGAGGCCAAATTGCTTACACTAACTCTAAATCACAGATTACAAGGTTGAGAGGAGAACAGTGAGAACAAGCAGAGCAACTAGAATGGACAAGAGAAAGGGTGACAACATGGACACGATATGAAGAGAATAAGAGATTATCATCAGTGTTAGTGAACACAAGATACAAAAATTGGTGAATGGGAATGTATTCTGATGTATTTTCTCAAAAAACAAACAAAAAAACAAAAGCACACAATACAATGCTAAAAAGAAAAACAACCCAACAGTAAATACTTTTCCTTATTCTGATTATATAAAGATGGTTGATTACTGATAAAGTGTAAGGGGAAAGTTCCACACATAAGTTATTAACCCCCTCCCCAGCCCTCACAACCAGGTGTCAAAATAAGGTGAGACCAGCTTCTAATGGTCAAAGTTAGGAATCTGGATAGATAAGCAGAAAATATTAATAAGGAACACACTTGTCTTTCAGATGAAGATGACAGTAAGAAATAAAGGGAGCTCTGGAGGCCTAGTGGCAAGAAGCTGCGCTGCAATCCCAAAAGTGCGTGGTTCTAATGCAACAGATGCTTCAGTGGAGAAGTAAGGGCACTCTGCTGTACCAATTGGATCTGACTGATAGTACACAAGGAGAGAAGAAAAATGGAACACTGGCCACTGGATAAACTGTGGTATTATTTTTTTACATATACAGGGTTAACCATTTTATGATCATGCTCTAGTTTTTTATGGCTATCTTTAATATAAAGAAGCAAAAATAAATCAACAAGACAGAAAGTGGAAAGCTGTAGGAATTAAGTAAAATATAAACAGTTGAGAGCTGTGTTTGCTAAAATACTGACTATATTTCTGTGGACTGCCACAAGAATAGTCTTAGAGAAATAAACCCTGAACCAAGGATGGCCAAGACTTCAGTTTACTCATTTCTGATATGCCATCAGGAGGGAAACCCTGTGTAAGAAGGCAGTTGCAACAGTCAACTCCAGCAGTTACCTTGTTTGGCCCATCCCGACAGATCGCCGTGACCAGGATGGACAAAATCCTCTAGGTCTGTAGACAGCTCTCTATAGATGTTTTCCAAGCTGAAAGCCACAAGGAGGGGGAAGGGAGAGAGAAAAAGGAAAATCTTAAAGTACAATTTTCAGGTTCAGTAACTACTTGGGAAAAATTAAAGTCCTTGATCAGAATTATATGTTTAAACAGATCCCAAAGATTCTCACCACTAGGCCAATTGGCAGCACCATAATGGAGAGAGAAGAGACTGAGGTTAACAGTTACAGCTTGCTTGCTCCACAATCAACACTCTTGCCATCAGCAGTCAAGATATCAAAACACGAATTGCATTCGGTAAATCTGCTGCCAGGAACCTTCCCAGAGTACTGAGAAGCAACAATCTCTTCTAGGCCACAGTCTTCACAATTCCTTGCTATGCATCAGAGTGCTGGACAATGACTAAGGATAGAAGAATTGATGTCTGAGTTGTGGTGAAGAGTCTTTTAACATAGCATGGACCGCCAAGAAAATTAATAGGTCTGTCTTAGAGAGTGTGAAACCAAGTGTCTCCTAGGAGGCAAGGATTTTGAAGCTCCGTTTCACATACTTTGGACATGTTGTAAGGAGGGACCAATTCTTGGAGGACATCTTGCTCAGAAGGGTGGGGGAACAGCGCAGGAGAGGAAGACCCCGGATGAGATGAATTGATACAGTGATAAGGATAATGGGGTAGGTGTATCAGTCAGTGAGACTGGCTCAGGACAGGGCAGGCTTCAGAGCTGCTGTGCATAGGGTCGCTATGAGTTGCAGACAACTCAAGGCACATATCATCATCCACAACCGGGCAACAAAGCGGAAAGAAGATAAACGGAAGCTTGCTTTTGTTGTTAGATGCTGAGAAACTGAGTACGAATCATAACGACCCTATGAAAAATGTCCTCGCCATCTGACACTCACCGCCAGTCACCTTGTCAACTCACGTCATTGAGGCTCTTCCTCTCTTTCACTAACCCTCCACCTTCCCAAGCATGATGTCCCTTTCCAAGGAATAGTATCTCCTAGCAACATGCCCAAAAGATGAGAGATGAAGCTTTGCCTCCAAGGAGCACTCTGGTTGCACTTTCTCCTAGACCTAGTGTTTGCTTTGTTCTTTTTTAAGTTCAAGGGACTCTTCTCCAATACCACAGCTCAAAGGCATCAATTCTTCTGTCATCCTTATTCTCTGTCCACCTCTCAGGTGCACAGCAAATGTCTGAAAAGACCACGGCCTGAATCAGGCACATCTTAGTGCTCAAACTGACATCATTACTCCTTAGTACTTTGGAGAGTTCCTTGACTAGACTTTCCCAGTACAATAATACCTCTCCTTATCTCCTACTGACTGTGGCTCTAAGTAAGATGAAGTTTTTGACAGTCTCAATATTCCATCTATCATAATGTTGCATATTGATCCACTGGCAAGGATCTTTGTTTTCTTGACATTCATATGCAAGCTATATGGAAGGCCATAGTGTATAGCTTTCTGCAAGAGCGTCAAGTCTTCCTTACTTTCAGCAAGCAAGGAAGGATGTGTCGCCTGCAATAAAGGTTACTGATGCGTCGTCCTCCGATCCTGATGCCGTATTTTTCTTCATCGAGTCCAGCTTCTCAAATAATTTATTCAGCCCAGAGATTAAACAAGTATGGAGAAAGGCAACAACCCTGGTCAAATACACTTCTACTTTTAAAGTATGTGGTATTCCCTTACTCTGTGCACAGGTCAAATGAAAAATCCTTTTTGGAATACCAGGGAGCTCTGATGGCTCAGTGATAGGGAATTATGCTGCCAATTCGAAGGCACATGGGCAAATCTACCAAATGCTCTGAGGCAGAAAGACGAGCATTTCTTCCTGTTGATTACTGCCTCTGAACACCTGCTGCAGGGTCAGCTATGCATTGATTCTGACTCTATACTACAAAACTATCTGGAATATTGTTCAGAGGATTCTAAGTTCTTGAGAAACAAGATAAGCACAATCATTTCATCTGATAATTACATCTATGCAAAACTTTAAATTACCCCAGCAACCACAATCTTTCATAGATGATGCTTACTAAATGTTACAGAGCTTTATAGTTACACTGTATAAAGACTGTATATAAAGCCTTCCAAAGCTGTGGGTTGGTTTTTTTATTATTTGTGTGTGTATACCGTCAAAAAAGATCTAACTGGTACAGGAGGAGATTGTCCCTCCTTCTCCAGCAGACCATCTGGTGGGTGGATTCAACAAAGCAGTGGTTTCTAACCAGGAGCAATTTGGGCCCCCAGGGGACACTGGACAGTATCTGAAGACATTTTTGGTTGCCATACTGGAAAGGTGAGATTGCTATTAAAGGTGACGTGCAACAGAGATGCTGCCAAAGGTCCTACACTGCACAGCACAACTCCCAGAACACAGAATGGCAGGGCCTGGATGACTAATATTGAAGCAGGAGTGGCATCCACTTCCTAAACAACATGCCTCTGGAATCTGTATGAACCTGGAGAAAACGATGATACAGATAAGGGTTTCAGGGGTTTTGTTCATAGGGTCACTATGAGTCGTATTTGACTCAAGAGCAAACAACAACAATAAATGATTAACAGATGAGCTTGAGAAATCCTGCTGCAAAGTTGTTATTCAACAGTATTGATATGAATAGTCACACTAGACCAAAGTCATTTATGGAGCCATTGTACCTGGGTGGCGGTGGTACAGGTCTCTGAACACTAAAGCAGAGCCCATGAGCTTGATTCGGTCCATGGTATGGATCCTGTCCCAGGATAACAACCTTCACCTGTCAACACAAGATGTTAAGAAGTTGGCACACTCACTGCAGCAGAGTCGGAACCAACACACACAGCTGGTTTTCAGAGGCTGTAAACTGCACATGAGACTGCCCATCTTTCTCCCGAGGAGTTGGAAGTGCAACTCCTCACCCACTCACTGGGTGTAGGCAAAGCCTCAAGGTGTATCAACAGCTGCTGACTGATGACCCGCACAAATAACAACAGTGAGCACGAAACCCTTTCTCGACCCCACAGAGAAAAGAACATTAAAAGTGTAACTTCCTTGGCCCCTTTATTTACTTCCCATTATCAAATGATCTTGCACTAGAAATTGCCTGATCTCTGTCACAACTCTTCTGACTCTAAATTTTTTTATACAAGTTGGCTTTGCTTTTGCTCACTTTTCAACTCATCTAAGTAATTAATTACACCCTTGGAACAAGAATTCAAGACACTTGTTCAGAAACACAAAGAAATTCATTAAGTCTCGATCAGGTCTATCCTATGCTGATTAATCCATTTTAAATACTCTGTATTTGGTGTTATTAACTTATTATGCTTTATTTTTTACATCTTACATTCTGGGCATCTTTCAACACTGTATCTCATTGTCACTGACTCACACCCAATGCTCCATGGGATTTCCAAGGCTATCAAGTGCGCAGGAAAAGACTGGATGGAGGAGCAGCTAATGGATTTGAACTATGGCCTTTCAGTTGTGCACCTCACTATGGACTATGCTTCTACCACTGCCTTCAAGGTAAGATACTATAATAAGCGGAGGGCAGCCAATCTGTAGGTAATTTCCAAGACACAAAATATTTCTTTTTATTTCTATGGCCTAAAAGTCACAATGGTAGAGTTTCTGATCAAAGAATAAATGTATTTTAAATTTCCATTGACATGAACAGATCACTTTTCAAGAGCACTCCAAAGTCTCTACCAGCGACATAGATATGTCTGATTCCCTGCAATCCCTTAATGGTCCAAATGAGAAAATGAGGCCAGGTCCAAGAGCCAAGGGAAGAGGCAGCAGAGGCAACACAAAGGAATGAGGTCACTGGAGGCACTGAAAGACGATGCTTGATCCTTTTGTGCAGACCCACCCACCTCTTCTTCAGGCCCATGCTGCTGCCATGGTGCTCTCACTTAAAATCTCCCTCCACGGATTCTTTCAGAATCCCAGTTCTTATGTTCCTGTCTGAACCTCTAAGGCTCTCCTAAGAACTGTCTCCAGCATACCTGCTGAGGATCTTGTCCCAGGAGGGATGCTTTCATGGTAGGGCTCTAGTTCTTGTGTAAGCTAACCACACAAGTCAAAGCTTTGGGGCATTTGGCTGCAAAGGAGCCCCACTGGCCTAATTCCATAGTCACAGTCTCATGGGCTTATGTCTTCTTTTTTTGGCAGACCAGACAATAGAATAGATGGAAAAAAGATAAATAATAAACTATCTTATTTGGAGCCTTGGTACCAGCAGTGAAGAAATCAAAAAACAAGACGTGTTGCAGTGGGGGGAAAGGATTATATAACAATGAAAAAGAGTGAATTGGGGTGGGGGGCACTAGGGAGGAAAGTGAAACAATGAATGAACAGAAATCCAAATTCTCTGTAAACTTTGATTAATAAAAAAAGACGTGTTACAATGGGAAAACGTGTTGTCAAAGACATTGCCAAAGTGCTTAAAGAGCAAAGATGTCATGTTTTGTTGTGTTTTTTTTTTCCATTTATGTGCTATACATCTGAAATCTGGACAGTGACTAAGGATGCCAGAAGACAAATAGATGACTTTTGCATTTTGGTGTTGGAGTACTGAATATACCATGTCCAGAGAACAAGCAGTTTCATCCTGGAGACAGCAAGCGAGTATAGCAACATGACCAGAAGGAGGAAGGGTACATGATGGGATTTGTTTTTTATTACGGATAGGAGTCACACAGTCAAATGTCTGCAGTTTGAAGGGGTGTTAGACATCACTGTATCTCAATCCCTCCACTGTACACTAAGACCTGCCAATCTCACACTACTTGCTGGCTTCTTCTGAGCATTTTTTCCATCGTTGTTTTGTACTACTGTGACCGAACAGACCCACAGCTGATGCACGGGGGGTGGGGGGGGGGTGTGGGGTGGTGGTTTCAGAGGTAATATACATCAAACCGGAGACTGCCCACCTTCTCCACAGCACAGCTGGTGGATTCAAACTGCATACATTTGGATTGGCAGTGCAATTCCTTACCCTAAACCAGTAGAGCTCCCTTCTCTTTGCTAGTTTTACTTAGCTAGTCTTTTCTGGACAAGGAACTAACTGTCAAATAAAAGCAGTCATGACTTCATTCTAGTCTAAGTTGCCTGTGAAGGCTATTGAAACTCACTGTAACCCAATAGATGCACGAGAGCTGACTCATCTTTACAAAAGTCATTTCCTTTGTTTCCCTTCATTTTGCTTTCTTACAAAGCTAATGTGACAAATTTCAAAGTGCAGCTCAGGTAGACAAAGCAAGGTATTATAATGAGCTGGAATCAGAAAATCAAAAGCTCAGCATTTCTTAAACTGAAGGAATTGAAACAAATTCAGGCCACGAGTGGCAATACTTAAGGATGCTTTGGGCAAAATGTATTAAAAGACGGAAGGGGTATACTGTCCCTATACCAGAAGGAATGGGCTGACACAGAGGAATTTCATGAAACAACGTATGAGAAAGAGCCTGTGAGGATGAAGGAAGAAGTTCAAGCTGCTCTGAAAGAACTGGCAAAAAAAACAAGGCCCCAGAAACTGATGGCACACCAATTGGCATATTTTAACAAACATACACTACCCTGGATGTGCTCACTTAAGTTGTGCCAAGAAATCTGGAGGACAGCCAGCTGGCCAACTGACTGGAAGAGATCGATGTTTTTTACCATTCCAAAGAAAGGTGACCTGACAAAGTGTGGAAAGTATCGAACAATATCATTAACACCACATGCAAGCAAGATTCTGCTGAAAATTATCCAAAATGACTGGAGGAACACATCAACAGAACTGCCAGATGTGCAGTCTGGGTTTAGAAGAGGCTATGGTACTAGAGATATTATAGCTAATGTTAAAGATGGGTTTGGCTGAAAGCAGAGAGTTCCAGAGAAATGTCTGTGTTTCAGTGACTATGCAAAGGCATTTGACTGTGTGGATCACAAGAAACTGTGGCTGACTCTGAGAAGAATGGGAACTCCAGAACATCTGATTGTGCTTATGCGAAACCTATACTTTAACCAGGAGGCAGTCATCAGAACAAAGCAAGGAAACACTGCATGGTTTAAAACTGGGAAGGGTGTCTGCAAGGGATGTATTCTGTCTCTTTACAATCTATATGCAGAACAGGTCATCTGGGACGCTGGGCTGTATGACAAGGAATGTGGCATCAGGATTAGAGGAAGATTCATTAACAACCTGTGTTATGTAGATGACACAATCCTGCTTGCTGAAACTGAGGACCTGAAATGCTTGCTGCAGAAGGTCAAGGACTGCAGACTTAAATAGGGATTGAAGCTCAACATTTAAAAAAAAAAAAAGATTCTCACCTCTGGGCCAATTGGCAGCATGATTATGAATGAAGAGACTGAGATTCTTAACAGTTTTAGTTTGCTTGGCTCCACAATCAACACTCTTATTACTAGCAGCCAGGAAATCAAGAGATAAATTGCATTGGGAAAGTCAGCTGTCAGGAACCTCAATCACCCCTGATCTTCACAATTGCTTGCATCAGAGAGCTGGACAATGACTAGGGATGATAGAGGATTGATGCCTTTGAGCTGTAGTGCTGGAGAAGAGTGTTGAATATACCATGAACTGCCAGGAGAACAAACAGTTTCATCCTAGAGAGGGCGAAACTGGGCTGCTCCTTGGAGGCAAGGATTCTGAAGCTCCGTGTGATAGACTTAGGACATGTCCTTGGAGAGGGACATCGTGCTTGGGAGGGTGGAAGGACAGTGCAAGAGAGGAAGATCCTTGATGAGATGGATCAATTCTGTGACTAGGGTAATGTGTCAGAGACAGTAAGGTTGGTACAGGATAAAGCAGGGTTTAGGGTTCTTGTACATAAGTCCCTATGAGTCTCAAGCAACTAAATTAGGCATAAAAACCAACCAAACAACGCAACAAAGCAAAATGAAGGAAAACAAAAGCAGAATACTAGAACTACAAACCTTGGGCTGTTAGCTGCTGCTCTAAAGCTCTCACTGATAACAACCCTGCCTGTGGCAGAGAAAAGCACTGTCTGATGATCTTGCAAGCATCCTCACTATGTGAGAGCCCATTCCTGCAACTAGTGTCAAGCCTCAATGCCGTTTGACAACTGGCTTTTGGTATTCAGAACATATTACTCAAACATTAAAAGAAAACAAACCAATTTCAAAACAAAGAGTAACAGCCAAAGTTCTTGCTTTGAGACGCAAACTGGCGTTTGCCAAGTGTGTTACCTTATCAAGATGTCTTTTTCACCTAGTTCACTTCCATCTGGTTGAAGAGCTCTTTAATAAGGATTTCTGCTCTGAGCCTACAAAGGGCAGGGTCAAAATTAAATCCCAGATCTTGCAATGTTCTGAACAGACACTATCCATACTGCCAAGAGTTAGTGGAAAGCCAGCCCATAAAGGTCCTGGGCATGAACACCAATGTTCTCAGCAGTGTTATTCACCATCACAAGAACATGGAAACAGCCCAGATGTCCAACCACAAAGGAATGGATTGAGAAATTATGGTACATTCACACAATGCAATACTACACAGCACACTGGAGTAATGGTGTTGTCAATCACTACCTAACCAGGGAGGGACTGGAGAGCATTATGCGGGGTGAACTAACTCAGTCCCATAAGGACAAGTACCATATAAGATCATTTTTGTAGAAATTGGTTAACTAGTAAAACATGTATGAGGATCTAAGGAAGGGGATGCAGAGGGGCAAGAATGGCGGGGTTGGTGGTCGTGGTTAATCATAGGGTCCCACAGTCTGACGGGTGGAAAGAGGGGTGGGTTACGGAAAAAAGAAAGACCCGGTGTGAAAAACAAGGTTTAATAACTTTGCAAGTAAACCAGTATAAAGTAAAAATTTTATATTAACAAAAAGTCATAGGCAATGGGCTTCAATGCAGCACCACAGAGATCTCTGTTGTTGTTGGGTGCCATCCTGTTGGGTCAGTCAGCTTCTAACTATTTTCTAACAGCACAAAACTCCAATCTTGTAACAACGTCAAAATCTGCTGTCCTTAAATTCACTGTCTGCAGCCACTGTGTGCATATCTGAGCACCTGCCAAGCTGACTGCCTCTTTTGGGACTACCATAGATAATGTTGCACTGATAGCCACAGGGTTTGCAAGGGCCCACTCACTCCCTGAGGAGTGGGCAGTTGGGCCTACCTCCTAGTCAGGAAGCATCCCTGAAAGCTGTCCAGCATGGATGAACCTGTAGGTATTTGACAGACCCGTGGCTTAGCTTTATCACAGCAATACACACATCATCACGGTATGGACAAACTGAGTGACAGTGATGGACAGACAGATAACCTGGAGGTTGTTTTCAAGACAAGGGCCATGTCACATCAACCTCTTCTGAGGGTGAGGGGTGGCAGGTGGAGGAAAGCCAGGGAGAGAGGTGTGGCCATGCTTACAGAGTCTTGCATGTTCAGTCCCTTCAGTTTCCACAGCACAAAACGGGCAGAGGCACTTTAATAAGAGACTGGTGTGAATGCAGCCACCACACAGTAGTTGTGTAGGATAAACTAAAGCAAAGGGATTTGTTAACAGGATATTCAAACTGTCTTGGTTAGAAGCCAAGTTTGACAGTGTCAACTACAAAGACACAAGAAGAATAGTCAGCTGGAAGTCAAGGTAGGGATATTTGAAAAAAGAAAGTGTTGCCCTTGATTCTGACTTAGAGGAACCCCTGTGTGTACAAAGTAGAACTCTTCGACAGGGATCACCAGGTCTAATGAGCTGCCTCTTCCGAGAGTTGGTGACTTCAAACCATCAACCTTTTACTATACAGTTTGAATAGCCCTGATCTAATTAAAGACAACAGGAAGTCACTCCTGTAACTAGCTGTAAATGAAACCTTTCTCCTTCATGTTGTAAAACATGTAAACATGTAAATAAATATTGGGTATAATGATCACAGAAATCGTGCACCCACCTTTAGCCAAGACTTAAAGAATAAGAAATACAGAGAGCACTGAAGGCCTTAGACAAAAAAAACCTGGAGCCCCACTCAGTATCTTCAGAGGAAGAAAATTTGCATTTGAAAGAAAATGGAGGCCTAGCCCTCTAGTGATTTACAGCCTCCTAAAATCTGGAGTCACTTATGAGATGGGCTCACAAAGAAATGGGCACTCAGAACAATGTGAAAGAGTTCAGTGCCTCCGACCAGCAGCTCATGGATGAGGTCAGTACCTTCAGGAGCTGGACCAGGTGAAGACCCACACTCTCACTGTCATCTCGTTACCACTTGCTTGAGCAGGTCAGAGGTTGTGCCTAGAGGCTCAGGGCCAGAAAGGCCTGGCTTTTGGCAAAGCTGGGAAGCTGTTCTGCTTGATACACTCAGCAGTTCCAGATGTTCAAATTGTAGCCTATTACGTATCAAACTCATAATCAAGACTTCTGTCTTGAGCTCTGTGTGGTCATAGCAAGAATTATGAAATAAATCCAGTAAAAGTAAAGGATGAATTATCAAACTCCTAATAGTAGTAGTATGTTGGGGGAGAATGGCTGGCCCCAGAACTGAAAGAAGACATAAAAGGACAATTATGGTGTAAGACCAGTATTATAGAAAGCTACGAAAATGTTTCTACACAGACAGGATCATTCTTGGGTAGACAGGGAGAATGAGGGTAGAAAAATGTAATAAACAGATAAAGTAGGTACAAAAAATGGCAGAAGAAAAGTGTAGAACATGGCAAGAAGGGCCTATCTGACCTTATAGGAATTGCTTGGGACTGCTCCTGGAAATGCGGAAACCTCCCTCCATAGTGAAGTTAGTGAAGATCACACACCACTGCCCCTTTGCCAATGACACCTAGATAGGTTGGTTTTGGTAAAATATAAAAAAAGATACGTAACATACTTAACTCGAGCAACTTAAAGCAGAAGATGGGCATCATACTCCTGTGCTATTTACTCCGCTGAAAAGTCCCTTGAGTTGGTTCCAACTTAAAATTTAAAAGTCAAAATGTTCAATCCTGAGTTTGATATACATAGCAAATAAAAGATGTCATAAGTAACTTCTTTATAAAGTAAAACAAAGTGAGAGCTAATCTGGAAAAAGAGGTACACTGCAAGTGGGGAGGGAAGGGAAGAAAATGTGCAACAAAGAGCAAATGAAATCCCAACCATTCTGGAAACTTGTTCAAATCACAATGAAGGGGTGGCAGTGAGAGCTACAGATAAACAATCTAGACACATGATCTTCCTTTTTTCTGCAAAACAAGTGCTATAAGACTAAAGAGTAAAATAGTCAAACCTCATGATTTCAACGGTATATTACTAATTTATGGATAATGTCTTAACTCCAGTGGATCTAATTAGAAAATAGTAATACCCTCTTTATAATTAATCACTTTCTTGTACTCACGTCTTTTATATCGCACATCTGCGTCCACGTGAAGACTTGGTGTGGGGGTGGATACACAGTGTAATGCTTTCTTTCTTCTGCAACAAATCCCATGAGCTGATGTAAAGATAAATTAAGCTTAAAATCAGATTCTCACTGGAAACCATTAAGAAAGCCGGTGAAACCTGGTTCAATTATCCAGTTTGTTACCAAACTAAATGCAAATCTTTAAAACATTAGCAAACAATACCTGCCTCTCACCAAAGTTCCCTCCCTCTTTCCTTCTGTAAAGGAGCCTGAGTGTTGCCTGGTTAAAAGTACTGCTAATTAACAGGTTGAACACACCAAATGCTCAAGATGTTCAAGAAGGATTAGGCAGGAAGCTTCTTCACAGCTCTGGACATTCTATGGAATGATCCTACTCTGTCCTATAGGGTTTTTCCCCAGTCTGTCTTGTCTTTCGCTCTTTCTTTCTTCTATTAGTTTATTTACAAAACTTGAATACAAATTTGAACAAATTCTTTCAGTTTCCCTCACCCCTGCCCAAATTGTACAACTCAATGATTAATTCCCCCCTTCTATAGTTTTGTATCAGAATGAGATAGACGACAGTTTGGGTTCTCTTTCTACTGGTTTTACACCTATTTACTTCCTTTAAAAAAAATTAAGAGCAAATGAATTTAAAGGCCACGTTTCCTTCTCTTTGGTTGATAGTTTTATGAGGCTAGTCTTTCCTAATCAAGGGACTAAATTCTGGATTAAGAGGAGCTGTGACATTTTCTTTTTGGTTGCCTGTGGCATGACTCACTGTAATCCCACAGTGCCAGGTTAGAACAGTGACCTACAGGATTTTCAAGCAAAGGAAGGCCACCAGGCCTTTCTTCCAAGCTGCCTATTTAAAAAATTCATTCCTGTCTAGTCTGAAATGGTTCATGGTTGACCTATGTAATAATAGGTTCCCAAGGTCCCTGGAAGGAGACTGCCCAGCTTTCTCCAGTGAATCAGAACCGCAAGAGGCTGGACACTTAACTAGCAGCAACTCCCTTCCTCCTAAGCCACCAGGATGTCCTCTGAGGTGCTCAAGACGGAGTTTCATCTGTCAACCTTTCACTTAGTCCAGTGCTTAACCTTAGCCCTTTGTGTCCATCTAGAGACTCCTGATGATCAGGGCTGTGGAGCTGCTCTCCCTTCCTTTCCCAGAATGGCCAATGAAATGATCCAACCACAGGAAACAGCAGCTGTGGCTGTTTCCCTGCTAAGGTTTCGAAACTGCTCACCTCCATTTCCCAGGAATGGAGACCCCTATTCTCCTAACAAACATCTGCGTGGACATCCCCCTCCCCAATTTCCTTGTAAGACAATATAAAACCCCTCTCTAACTTTAAGTGGGGACTGGTTTCCACTTTAGAGCCAGTCTGGCAGTTTCTCAATAAACTGTCTATCTTAGCCTGAACTGGATTCTGTTGCCATGCGTGCTGGAATCACACTGGGACACACAATAACGCCTCGAGAGGAAGCAGAACCGCCTCCCAAGGTTTGTCTTGCTATATAACCTTTATGGAAGCCCCTGTCTTCCACTGAACCTCTGCATGGGTTCAAACCTCCAACTCTCCCCGTTAGCAGCCTAACCATTAACACCAGGGCTCCTTAGAGCTCATCCTACAATCTTTGCGACCCCAAACACCCCTGGCTTCCCTGGCGTGAAAAGGTCACTCCCGGGGAGGACTAAGGGGGGGTCAAAGCAGGTGGAGGCCCAACACATGCTGTCTCAAGCCGGGCTCCCCATCATTAATGGAGAAGACAGGGCAACGCAGCCCCTTCACCTTAATAAAATATGGCTTGGTGAACTCTCCGCTCAGCTGCTTCTTCCAGCTCGGGCCGATGTCAACGGGCACGTTGCGGGCGGCGAGTCGGAGCAGGGCGGCCGCCTTGTTCTTCTGAATGCGGACCAGCTGCTCCGGGCTCAGAGGCGACGAGGGCGGCGTGCCCGGCGCGTCCTGCTCCGTACGGGCCTTCTTGGCGGGGCTGGCCTGCAGGTGGAACCCGCAGAGGCGGGTCACAAGCGGCAGTGACCCTCCCGCCGCGGCCCGCAGCTCCCGGCACCAGCCTGGCGACCCTCTGCACAAGACGCCCATCTGCGAGGCTTTCGATCCCTAGACTAGAGGGCTGTGGTTAGCGCCAGGCAGGTAGGCCGCAGCCCGGAGCTTGGGTGAGTTTTGCGATTAAACTCGTAATTTAGAGGAGGGAGAGGGGCATGTAAAAGCCCCGCCGCGTCTCCGGGGAAACTGCGGCGAAAGGCGCCCACCCTCGGAAGCCCCTGCTTGGGGCGCCCCGCTATCAGCGTCCCCACGCGGCCTTTTCGCGGCAAAAATTTCCCCGAGGTCCCGCCCCCTTCCCCCTCCGACTGGGCAGCGCGGCGAGAAGGACGGGACGGCGCGCTGATTGGCGCCGACTGCTCCGAAGCTTGCCCCCATTGGCTGCTCACCCAGCATGGCCGCGGCTGGAGGGCCGGGGCGGCTGTTTTGAACACGTGAAGGCTGTTTTCAACATTCCGTTCTGCAGATTCGGCAGCGCGCTCCTGCAGCCACGCGGGCCTCGCAGCTAGCAACTATGACCCGGCCCCAAGCCCCTAACCTCAAAAACCGTCCCCGCCGCCACTCACCGCCACATCCCCGTTCTCCTCGGCTATCGCTACCGCCGCCACGCCGGTCCCCGGGTCGGCTGGTTCGGAGCTTTGCGCACGTCGCTTCCCCGCGGGGCTCGGGGAGAAGAAGGAGTAGAGCGTCTTCTGGCCGATCATCCCGGAGCCGAGGAGTGGGCGAACTTGCGCTGCCCGGGGTCCACAAGGTTCTCGCCAGCGGCGGAGCTTGGCAATTGGCGCCAAGCGGCCCGCGCATGCTCCAATAGCAGGGGGCTTTGCCGGGGGCGGGGGGCCGTGAGGGGCCTAGAGCGCATGTGCAGGAGACACTGCCAGGCAGTGGGAGGGGTTTGGGATGGTCCTTGAGGGTTTGCAAGAGAATGGGTGCTTTTCGTTCAGTTATTTATCATCCCTCTGCCTTTGGGGCAAATTCTTTCACCTCTCAGCCACAGAAAGATTATGGCCCTAAAAGGTTGCGGTGTAAAATTAGCATTATAGTCTGCATTGTATGCTCTTTGACCATTACCAACCTTTCAGTGAAAACCCACTCATTCCGCGGGCTTGCCATTGAGTTTCTTTGGCCTAGTGGCAAGAAGCTGCACTGCAATCCAGAGATGAACAGTTCGAATCCACCAGATGCTCTGCTAGAGGAGGAACAACCTCCTCCTGTACCAGTCAGATCTGATTTGACGGTACGCGCGCGTGCACACACACACACACACACACACACACACACACACACACACACACGTTTAATTGGATGATTTCCATAAATTAACCATCACCATTCTGTGAAGTACAAACCATTAAGTTACAGGCTGTAGGGACAGAAGATAGACCAAAGTGGTCACTTCCTATCCTGGCTATTCAGTGCGGAGGGAGTGGGGAAAATGGTTTTTTATTTTTTAAAACCGAGTCCCTTGTTTCAATTACAAAAAATTTACTCTAATTTGATAGTAAACTGTATTGAAACAAAATGGACTGAAAAGCAAATACTCCATGTTGGGGTAGAGATGGGAGGAAAGAATGAATGGTCTTTCAAAGCTGGAGGGGAGGGGGCAGATGGAATAAGGCTCTGTGACTGTGACCCCAAGTGGTCACTCACACTGCTGCATTTTTACTTTTCAGGGAAGTTCGATTTGTCTTCTTTCATGCATTTTGTGTTTGCTTGGTAATTTCATCAGCTATGTACATGGGTGGGTGACTTTTAATCCGCGGCCCTCGGGCCTGTCTTTCATTGTTTTTGTTCAGACATTCCTCTAGGTGGTGTAGCCCTGGTGTACAAGTTGCCGTACAACGGTCACTTGTGGTTTCTGTGAGGCTGAACACTGTGACACAGATGTGTCAAATGCATTAATGGTTGGCTACCCAATTCGGAGGAGAATGGAGTGAAGCTCCCCGATTAAAACAAGCTTGGAAGGAGGAGTGGCATCCACTTCCATAATAGCTTGCCTCATACGGAAACCGGAAACCGTATGAGCCTGGAGACAGGATGAAAGGCACCCAAGGACTCTCCTTCAAAGGGTTGCTATGAGTCGCCTGCGACTCAACGGCACTTAACAACAACCACAACATGCACATGACCATCTCAACTTTTGGCTTTTTCTTGAGCCTCAATCTTTTCTTCCCTCTGTCGCTGCCTTCCATGCATCTCTTTGGCTTCACTTGCTTTCCTTTTCATTTCTGGTTCTGCAAAAGCGTCCTCATCTGTACACTGATTGTTTGAACAGCTCAAGATCATCTTCTTCCATATTTGTAGATTTCTCTTCTTTAATGGCTTTTTTCGCTCTCTTAGTGTGGTCCATATATTCTTCTCCTGCCTGAGTAACATCTGGGATCCTCATCTTTTGTTCTGATCCTTTAGCAACTTGTAAGGTTCGTCCACAGCTTCAGAGGCCTTTTGTGCTCAGTCAGCATCATCTTGATTTTGGTCACGATGCACCAAGACGGTAACTGCCAAAATCTCTTTTTATTTCCTCATCTGTCACTTCAGGATCTATTTGAAGAACCTCAAAGGATTCAAGTTGAAGTAAGAGAACTAGGACAGACCAATCTTTCAATTAAATTTTTTTTGGATGTTAAAAGCAAATCTCTCTTCTCTATTTGCTTCACCTCACTGCGATGTTGTTGTTGTTGTTGTTGTTGTGTGTCGTCAAGTTGTCTGCGACCCCTAGTGACCATAGTACAACCACTCCAAACCCTGCTCCATCCTGAGCCAACCTTATAGTCTCTGATATACCTACCCCCATTACCCTAGTCACTGAGTCAATCCATCTCATCAAGGGTCTTCCCTTCTTGCACTGTTCCTCCATCCTCCCAAGCATGATGTCCCTCTCCAAGGACCGGTCCCTCCTTGTAATATGCCCAAAGTATGTTAGACAAAGCTTCAGAATCCTTGTCTCCAAGGAGCAGCCTGGTTTACCCTCTCTGGAATAAACTTGTTTGTTCTTCTAGTGGTCCATGGTATATTGGATACTCTTCTCCAGCACCACTGCTAAAAGGCATCAATTCTTCTATCATCTCTAGCCATTGTCTAGCTTTCTGTAATTGTGAAGACCTAGAGCAGGTGCATCTTAGTCTCCAGACTGACACTGTTGCTCTTTAGTACTCTCAAGAGCTCCCTGACAGAAGCCTTTCCCAATGCAATTCATCTTTTAATTTTCTGGCTCCTGGTACCAAGAGTGTTGATTGTGGAGCCAAGCAAACTAACACTGTTACCAATCTCAATCTTTTCATCACATCTGTTATGATGCTGCTAATCGGCCCAGTGGTGAGAACCTTTGTTTTCTTGATATTGAAGATCATAAATGACACAAATACATCCTCTGTGTCACCTCTGCCTCCTGAAGCCCTGTTCTTCCCAGAAGCCACCATTTCTCCCTCGACTAGGTTTCAGAGTCTGTAAACTGAACTGCTGGTGGATTTGAACCTCCGGAGCAGGTGGCCTTTGCAGTTAGCACTGCAACTCCCAACTAACCAACAGAGCGCCCTCTTTTGTGCATTTTTTTTACATGAGTTGAGTATAACTCATAGTGTCCCTATCTATGAACAATAGTCCTGTCCTGTACCATTCTCATCATCTCTGACACACTTCAGCCCATAGCTGCAGTCACTGTGTCAATCCATATAGTTGAAGGTCTTCCTCTCTTCTGCCGTCCCGCCACCTTCCCAAGCATGATGTCCTTCTCAAGGGACTAGCCTCTCCTAGCAACATGCCCAAATATGTAAGACAAAGCTTTGTCATCTTTGCTTCCGAGGACACTCTTTAAAGGCTGTACTTTATCCAAGACATGTTGTTGTTGTTGTTATGTGCTATCAAGTCACTAGCGACTCATAGCAACCCTATGTACAAGAGCTCTAAATGCTGTTCTATCCTGTACCAACCTAGCCATCTCAAACGCACTTATTCCCACCGCTCCAGTCACAGAATCGATCCATCTCACCAAAGGTCTTCCTCTCCTTCGCTTCCCCTCCACTCTGCCAAACATGATGTCCCTCTCCAAGGACCAGTCCCTCCTTGCAACATGCCCAAAATATGTCAGACGAAGCTTCAGAATCCTTGACTCCAGGGAACACTCTGGCTTCACCCTCTCCAAGACAAACCTGTTTGTTCTCCTAGCAGTCCATGGTATATTCAACACTCTTCTCCAGCACCGCAGCTCAAAGGCATCACTCCTCTTTCTATCAGCCCTATTCACTGTCCAACTCTGATGCATAGCACATAACTGCGAAGACTATAACCCGGATCAGGCACACCTTAGTCTCCAGCCTGACATCGTTGCTCTTCAGTACTCTTGAGAGGTCCCTCACAGCCAGCTTTCCCAATGCAATTCATCTCCTGATTTCCTGGCTGCTGTTACCAAGAGCATTGACTGTGGAGCCAAGTAAATTAAAACTGTTAACGATCTCAATCTCTTTACCATCCGTGCTGATGCTGCCAATTGGCCCAGTGGTTAGAATCTTTGTTTTCTTGACATTTAGCTTCAGTCCATATAGGAGGCTGTAGTCCTCGATCTTCTGCAGCAAGCGCCTCAGGTCCTCCTCAGTTTCAGCAAGCAGGGTTGTGTCATCTGCATAACACAGGTTGTTGATGATTCTTCCACCAATCCTGATTCCACATTCCTCTTTGTATAGCCCAGCGTCTTGGATGATCTGTTCTGCATACAAATTGAAAAGGTATGGAGACAGAATACATCCCTGATGGACCCCCTTCTTGATTTTGAACCATGTAGTGTCTCCTTGCTCTGTTCTGACGACTGCCTCCTGGTCCAAGTATAGGTTTCACATTAGCACAATCAAGTGTTCTGGAATTCCCATTCTTCTTAGAGTCAGCCACAGCTTGTTGTGATCCACACAGTCAAAAGCCTTTGCATAGTCAATGAAGCACAGATAGACATTCTTCTGGTATTCTTTGCTTTCTGCCAAGATCCATCTGACATTAGCTACAATATCCCTAGTACCACGACCTCTTCTAAATCCAGACTGCGCATCTGTTTGTTTGGCAGTCAATGGACTCTTCTTCAACACCACAGGACAAAGGCATCAATTTTTCTGTCACCCTTATTGCTTGCTCTGAGCATGTCGCTGAAAAGACTAGGATCTGAATCTGGTGTGCCTTAATCTTCAAATTGATATCCTTGCTCCTCCATAATTTGGAGAGGTCCTTGATCGCAGGCTTTCCTCGTGCGTCTCCTGATCTCCAGACCTGTACATTATTACTTCCCCAATTTTCACAACCTATTTTACAGATGACAGACTAAGGCTTAGAGCTTTTGCAAGATCCCTAATTTACTGGGAGATGGGAGTAATGCTTTGGAGTCACAGAGGTTAAACTTCAAACTATTCATCCCCCAAATAGCACAACCTACAGCCCTAATATGTCTAGATTTCTTCTCTTTCCTTCCCTCTTCACATGCAAACTATCAATATGTCCTTTCAGTTCTACCTCAAGATAAAGGCCAAATTCAATGCTTTCTCTCTAGCTGCAATCTCAGCTGGTCTACAGCAGTGGGACAATCCCAGGTGTAAAGCCCTCCATGGCTTCCAAGGATGTTTAGAATAAAATGCCACTTCTTAGACTATCACTCCCTCCCCCTCAAGGACCCTACTGTAGTCACATTTGCTGGTCAGTTTTTGTCTGATATTTGACCTAAGCTATCCCC